AAGCATGAGTTCCATACCCACCTGCCCCGAGGTGACCCACTTGGTGCTGCAGACCTCTCCTGATCAGAGGTGCTCCCCTCAGCAGCGTACTTCGTCCATCTGCTGCTCCCCACTCTGTCTTTCACTGTCCATGCACCTCTGGCCTGTCCCCTAGTTCTGTATGCACAAATAAATCTTTTAAAAAAAGGTGATTTTTATTTTCATATTAGTATTTTTACCCTTCAATATTTGTTTATAGTGCATAAACATTTTTTAATTATACAATGGGTGCATATTTTTCATTTTTTCCATTTTTAAAGTGGAACAAAGGAATTCATGACCTCTTAATCATTTTAGTGACAATATAAAGTTCCATTCAATGATATTTGAGAGAGTTATCAAAGGATAGGGTTGATTCTAACTCTCTCGGAAGATAAAAACTTAGGAATTCTACAGAAAGATAAACTTACTGCCAAAACTCAACCTCCTTTATCATAATAAGATGATTTTGAGGAGTTAAAAAAGCAAACAGCCTACCATATGTTTGTCACCTGGAGTTTTAATACAGATAAACCACCTCCAAACATTGCTTCCTAAATTTCATACAGTCACTTTTCAGTCTTGGAGAGAAAATGGAAAATCCGAATTATATCTTAGGAAAAAGAGAGTTAATCTAACAGGAGCTATGTTTATTTTGTTAGTTTTTGAACTTCATAGATAAGGCCAATATATCACCTTTATGCATACTGTTTGCTTTGATTTTCAATAACAGGTCAATGGCAAGAATAAATGATGCTTTTCTGCAGTTCCATTAAAACAGAGTGAGAGTTCTAAGGTATCCAAGTGAGTTTTTATTTTTAGTGTCTTTGATGATTTTATATCCCAAAATTTTATTTACAGGTCATCATAAATAGTCTTTAGTGCTAAAGGGGTTCAAATAGTTAATACCTGCTTTAGCTGAAATGCTGTCATTTGTTTAAACTGATGAATGCAGTAAGCTGTCACTTACTGGAAACGTGGGGCTTGAGTTTCTATAGGAAACATGACTAGAAGCAAAAGGTGAACTCATGATTTAGGCAAGTACATTTTAACTCATTGATCTAAAGAACTTCTATGCTGAAATCAATCCCTTAGCTCACATAAGCGTAAGTTTCATGCCATTACCAACATGTAATTCTGTGATTTGGTGGCATTACAATTAATTGATTATAAAGTCTAGGACACCAGGGTTTCTGAATTCCCTGTTTAATTCAATAATAGCATTTTGAGTTTATACTTCGTGGCAGATAAATCATCCATGACATTTATAATTAAAGGTTACCCACGTTTTAAAACCAGACTAGCCAACTTAAGGTGGGTTCTTGGGCTAAAGTCTCTCTTTGTGGTGGGGAATAACAGCGGATAGTTTTTGAGCCACATGGAGACTTTGGAATGTTGAGCAACTTTACACACCACTTTCTCATTGAAGCCTTGGTTAATAATCACAATTGTCTTAGGAGATGGCATTGCTTAACAGCATTTTACAGATAAAGAAACCAGTTAGTGACCTACCCAAGTTCGAAGATTAAGTGGTGGATCTGAGACCCGAGTCTCTAGGTCTCAAAGGTGTTATGCACGGGACCCCATAAGTAGTTCAGTTCCAGAGTGAATCGTACTGTGCTCTCCAGTTATACATTTTATAAGACAGAATTTGTTTAGAATGTACATCTAATGTAGTAGTAAAGAGAAAGATGTCGAGGACATGCAATTTATGGCTTGATGGTTTAGTTTGTAAGTTATGGAGCCACCATTTTGGGGGGATTGAGGAGAAGCCCCTATTGTTATTAGCCTGTCTGTGCTCCTCACAATACTAAAGGCTTGTTTTTTCCCACTAGACAAAAATGGCTTGCCCCCACTCTGTCTCAAACATGATTGGGAGGGTCTTATTTGATCCTTTATAAACTAAAACTTTTCAAACTATTGGGAAGCAGATACCTTTCCAAGGTATCAGAGAACTGTTGATTAAAATAAATTCTTGACTACTAGGGATGCAAGAAAGTAGCAATAGAATTTGGTAACTGGATGCCATAGAGTCTAAAACCAGACCCTTACCAAAAAAAATTTTTTTAAAGATTTATTTATTCATGTATACAGAACTGGGGTACAGGCCAGAGGTGGTGAGAGGCTTCACCAGAAGAGACAGAGTAGGGAGCAGAACAGGTCGACTGATGTACACTGCTGAGGGGAGCAACAGGAGGGTCAGGAGAGATCTGCTGCTCCATGTGGTCACCTCCATGTGGTCACCTCCGGGGCAGGTGGGGATCTAACTCATGCTGAAGTAGCTTTAGCTTCTCAGTGCTGTGCTTTAACCCGCTGCGCCACCAGGTAGGGTCCCTTACCTACCTGGTGACTTTGTTCTTTGTAGAACATTAATAATAATAATGACGATGATGATGATAATGATAACGAAGAGGTGTAAAATACCAATAATATTAAATGCCTTCTTTTTGAACGTTGCCCAAACGTTAATGGAATTGGGACAGAACAAAAACAATAAAAAAAAAAAAAAAGGCAGAAAGACCAAGTACATGGCCTCTGCCTGTTAATACTGGGGTAAGGAAAAGAGTTGTGGGGCGTACTTCAGGCATCCCAGCGGACCGCCCTGGTTCTGCACATTCCCACTGGTAACGTTCCAGAGCCTGAGTCTCCAGGGCTCCCCGCAGCGGGAAGGGAAAGACGCGCGTGGCCAGACGCGCGCGTATTCACGTGTATACACACACGCGCGCGCGCGCGCGCGCACACACACACTACACATACACACGGCCAGTTTCCTCCGCCCCCCCCCCTCCCGGGGGGGCGGGTCTCTTTCTCTTTAAAGAGCAGACAGTCTCCGCGCAAACCCAGGCTCTCTAAGGCCCCGGGGGTCCGGGACCCGAGCTGCGCGCAGCCAATGGGCGCGGTGGAGCGGCTAGAGCGCGGCTGACGCGGCACCAATGGGCGTTCGCGGGGGGCGGGGGCAGCGGAGGAGACACTATTGTTGATGAGGAGGAGCAGCGGCGGCGACGGCTGCACCACCTCATTGCTGCCGGCCGCGGCCCGGGCGCCCCTCGCACCCCGGATTCCCGCTTCGTCACCCCTTTCCAGGGGCCTTCCCTTCGGGCTCGAGAATCCTCCCCCTGCAACCTAACAACAACAAACCCCCCTCCCCCGTCTCGCCCAGTCACCGGGGAGGGGGGACCATGTCCCAGCGGGTGAGGCGCAATGGGTCCCCCACGCCGGCCGGCTCCCTCGGGGGCGGTGCGGTCGCCACGGCCGGGGGAGCCGGGAGCCGCCTGCAGCCCATGAGGGCGACGGTTCCATTCCAGCTGAAGCAGCAGCAGCAACATGGCAGCCCCACGCGGAGCAACGGCGGCGGCGGCGGCGGCAACAACAACGGCGGCTGCTGTGGTGGCGCCTCAGGCCCCTCAGGCGGCGGCGGGGGCCCACGCACCGCCTCGCGCAGCACGAGCCCCACGCGCGGCGGTGGGAGTGCGGCCGCGCGTACCAGCCCCACGGTGGCTACGCAGACAGGCGCGTCCGGGACGTCCACGCGAGGCACCAGCCCCACGCGCGCCGCCGCGCCCGGGGCTCGCGGGAGCCCCCCACGTCCGCAGCCCCCGCCACCGCTGCTGGGCACCGTGTCGTCGCCCAGCTCGTCGCCCACCCACCTGTGGACGGGCGAGGTGAGCGCAGCCCCACCCCCAGCCCGCGTCCGGCACCGACGGAGGTCCCCGGAGCAGAGCCGAATCTCCCCGGAGAGGAGGAGCCCGAGCGCCCCGGTTTGCAAAGCAGGTACGTGCGGGCTGTCGCGCGGCTCGGGGAAGGCGGCGGGAAGGGGTCCCGGGCGCGCAGCTGCTGCGCGGGGATTGCGGTGCTGCTGGGGATCCCTAGCAGCCAGGGGCGGGCCTGGGGGCGGGGCCCAGGGGTGCGGCTCCCCACCTTCTCCGGGCCTGCCCTGCGCCCCCTGGGCTGCCCACCGCCAGCCTTCTCAGCCTGCAGCGCTCGGGTCCGCGTTGTGGTGGTGCAGCAGCCGCTAACCTTGCGCTTGGGCTTAACGTGTGTTAATGATAAACCTAGATTCTGGCGGCTCACAGATTACTGCTCACCCTGCGGGGGTGAAGCTGGGAGTGGCTTGCCACTTTGTTTTAGTGGCCTGGTTAATGGTAGTGTAGCTCAGGTCTGATGCTATGTATGTGTTTCTCTTTAACGAAACAGTTTCAGGTACATTAGCATAACAGATTTGGATCCCCAGGAGACGTGCGGATAGGAGCTTGCTAGTGTCGACTTGATAAATGGGTAGCAAGAAGTGAGAACTAAGTTCATCGAGGTTCCTTTGGGAGGATTATGGGCGTTTACTACCTGAGTGTAACTCTGATATATTGGTTTTGTGTTTAGGATGTAAAGCCATTTATTTGATGTCTAAAAAAATCCAAGGTTTGTCTTATTATTTTAGGGACCAAGAAACTTTTTCTCTATACTCTGGGACCTTAATTGGAAAAAGTCCTGAATGGACTGTTGGCCTCCACTGGGATCATTCACTAGGAGTCACTTAAAAGAGAAACTAAAATTGTGGAAGTGGAAGGAGATAAGATTTACCCTCCGATGGCCTTCTTGTCAGACTTTAGTTGAAAAAGAAGTGCCTTTTAGAATGCCAGCATAGAGCTTTGTCTTTCCTGTTTGGGAGATTTTTGTTAGAATTGTCAAGGGAGAATGACTGGGAATAACTTACTTGGTTAGTAGAGTACTCCCTAGCCAAGGGAGTCAGATGAATTGACTTCAAGGTTTTCAGAACTGTAGTGAATAGTATGAATCTTTCTTACTATTTACTTTATCAGATACTTTAGACAGTGGATACATTTTTGGGAGAGAATTAACAAATGAGAGTTGATACTTCAGTTTTGCTGGGTGGTACTCTAAAGCCATACGCCTTGCATTATATCATAGAGTAAATTTCATAATGTACCATATAGACCTGGGACATACATACAAAATTATATATGCTCAGTTTTTGAAACAACTTTTTTTTTTTAAGATTTATTTATTTATTCGTACAGAACTGGGGTACAGGCCAGAGATGTGGAGGGTGAGAGGATTCACTAGGGACAGAGTGGGGAGCAGAACAGGCAGATCTACGAAGTACACTGCTGAGGGGAGCAGCGGGCGGGTCAGGAGAGGTCTGCCGTGCCATGTGGATCTTCTCCGGATCTCCTCCGGGGCAGATGGGGATCGAACTCATGCGGAAGTGGCTTAAGCTTCTCAGTGTTATGCTTTAACCCGCTGGGCCACCAGGAGGGCCTGAAACAACTCTTAACGGGATGTGATGAGCACAGAAGCTCTGGAGTTTGCATATTGTGGCAGTGGAAGTGAAAAGAGCTGTGGAAGTGAAAAGAGCTGTGGAAGTGGAAGTGGACCTAATAGATGAAAGCAGGTAGTAACTCCAATCTGGTAACAGAATCTGTCTACCTTCTCAATTGTTTGATTCAGAGGATGAGGTGAGATCCAGTTTAAATTTAGTATTGACAATGTGTGAAGGAAGATGCTCTTTTTAACCTCTAGAAGGGCTCAACCTTCTTGTCTTAAAGTGCCAGCTCATCATGTTTTCCCAGTCTCCATTCTCTCAGATCGGTTATTCCGTAGAGTATTCATGCTTTAAAATTAATACTCAGTCCCTCTCCCACATGAATACCCAAAATAAAAATAATGTTTATTCCTCTAGTGCAATACTCTCAACAGGGATACTGCCTGTTACTACATCATGCTGAAATGAGTGGTAACTTCTTTCTAAGAACATGTTCTTGCACTTTATGCAGAGCAGGACAAACTGTTACCACATTTCAGGTCTATATAGCACAGACTAGGCCATTTCCTTTTTTTTTTTTTAACAGACTAAATCAGTAAGGTGGAAAAAGTCTTTAATGACTAGACTCCCTTTTTTTGATTAAAGGGAGATTACTGCCAGTTTGCAGCCTCAATGAGATACAGATACTCTTACTAGTAAAGGAAAAGGTGTTGCTGTATATAGTTAACTTGTGACTCAGATTCCAGAGTCTGTTTAGATTAGGCTGCCAGTTTCTAGGTGACCATCGGATGATCTGGATACCGTAACTGTTATTAGGCACCTAGTACCTGAAAGTCCCTCAGTTGATGGCCTTAGGATTTGTAGAGGGGCATCCCTATTCAGCCATTTCCCTATTCTGTCCAGTTGCTTTAGTCCCTTGGGGTTAGAGCTAGTCACTTGTTGACTCAGAACTTCTTTCTCTTGACTTCTATAAGGTAATCCAGGCACCCATTCCTAAGGATAATTTTAAAAGGTGGCAACCTTCAGTAGTACCTGCCATCTATTTCTATTGCAGTGTGGTTTGTCCTAGGAACCTCTGAGGTAAGCTTAGAGAAGGTAATGGTAGATAAAATGATGGTAGGTTTTGTTTTTTCCTTCCCTCCTTTTACCAGCCTTAGCCTTAAATAAAATATCAAGTAGATATATTACAAATGGAGAGGTGACATAAGAGATTAGGAGCATAGGCTTTGGGTAGACAGTCTGAGTTTAATAACCACATTCTTCTACTTCAGAGTCTTGAAATGGAGAAGTGAAATAACTTTCAAACCCTTTGCTTTCTCATCTGTAAAACAGATGATGATATCTACTTCGTGGAGTGAAAAATACTCAGCAGTTATATATAGTAATATAAAAGTTAGTTACTATATGTTAGTTTTGCTTTTAGTTTTAGTGGATATAACATAAATTGCCAGTATTGGTTTAGTTTTCATGGCTGTTTGAAATTTCAAATTGTAGGGAATGGTCTTTGAACATGCAGAACTGTTTTTCAAGTGTGTGCTGTGGGTCATCTGATCAGAATAACGTAGATCCAGGATAAAATTGCAGGTTTCCAGGCCCTACTACAGAACTTAAAAGGCCCTAGTCTTCAATTCCCTGTGATTTTGCTATACTCTAAAACTAAAAAATAGTTGCTAGAAGTCCCCATGGAAAATAGTTTGAAAACTTCTCATTAGAGAAGATGCCATTGGTCCAGTATGTATAAAACGTTTTTTTGCAGTGCAGCTGTTGTGTAAGTAGCAATGCATGGTGTGCAACGATACATGGTTGTGTTTTTCCTAAATTTTCCTCACTTTGAATGCATTATGTTGTATATGAATTTAGTTGTTAGAGATGGATTTCAATAGACTAATCAGGAAGTAGGGTACCTATATCATATTGTGTAATCTTTGACTTCTGCTTTCTAGTACTGACTTCTGCTTTCTAGTACTTTGTGAAGCACACAGCTTTAAGCATTCATTGTTTCTTTAACATTTGGAGGATCACTGCTAATTTCACATCTTCAAGGAATCCTGTTGTGATGTGGGTTTGCAAAACTTACATTTAATTAAATTTGACTCTGAAAACATTTCAAGAGTAAAAGAAAAAGCCATTGAAGAAGCTTGAGGATATTGTAGGAGATAGGGTAAAATAGTCTCAAGAAAGCAAAAAATTTTATTGCATTTACAGGTGATGGTAAAGACTTACTAACTTATGAAGAGAATTGAAGACTGACCCTGGAGAACAGGGTCAATTTGGTCTTTTGGTTCATCTCTGAAACAGTAGTTTGTGCAGCATGTTGGGGCACAAATAGAATTAAAGCGGTGGGTAAGAAGTAGAAGTAATGAGTATAACTTCTGTGGATTATAAATGACATACTCATGCCATTGAAGGGAAGGAAAGTGGCAAAACTGAATGAAGAATTTGTTTATTTGTTGGATGAGAATAGCTTAATCATGTTTATTGGTTTGGGGAAAGAGTCAGAGGATAATAATAGATTTCATGTTCAAGAGAAGGTGGAAGTAGAAATGGAGCAAGTTTATGGAAAATGTGAGAGGCAATGGGTTATAGCACTTGGAAGAGTCTGCAAATCTAAGAAACAACTAAAGACACTTATTTCTCTTAGAATGAGAAGGAGTTTAAGGGGATGGCTTATGATGGCAGATAATTCAACAATAGAAGGGAAGGAAGTTAAAAAATTAGCTACTTACAAATCTAAACTACTTGAAAAGAAAATAGCATGTTTATCTTAATGCTATATTTTTAACATTTATTTTTATCAAAGTACACATACATAACTCAGAAAGTCAGCTAGCACTACAGTTATAACCAAATAAAATATTCCCTTGACAGATCTCTCTCTACTCTCACTTGGTTACCCCATAGAGACAACCATTTTCCATTCTGAGTGTTTTTTCTGGTGTTTGCCTACATATTTTCTGAATAACATGCTGGTACTGTTCCTTATGGCCATGCTCTCCAGTTTTGTAGTTTGCACCCTTCTGGTTAAATCATTAATAATGATTTAATTGTTAAGACTGTGTAAGTATTTTTACTACAAGAACCTTTCAGTATATAGTTCAGTTACATTTTCTTTTTTATAGCTTCTTATGCTCCTTGAAGTTAAAATTGCTTTGCCTTCTAAATACCTATCGCTCATTCATATCCAAACTTTAAATGATAGAAACTTTCTTTTAAATATTTTTAAATGCATCAAATATTTTGTAGTTTTACTGTTTTTGTTTTTTGAGATATCCCTTCTGGAGTTCTCTGTCCTATTCCAAACCTATATATGGCTCTCTAGATCTGTAGTATAGCTAAAGCCTTGGAACTTGTTTGGAAATTACTTCCTTTGTGTTCTGTTTTTTGGTATCCCACTCTCTAAGTCGTGTTTTGTGGAGCACAATCTCCCAATATTTTTTTTCAAGGTGGTACATGGGACACACACATACTTTTAAAAGGTCTTTAATATTTAGAT